AAGTGGCCTAACCAATGTTCTGTACAGTAACAATATGACATTGCAACTCCTATACTCAATGCACTGACCAATAAAGGGAAGTGTACCAAGCAGTTACTTTACTATTTCTGTCTACCTGTGACTCCTCCCTCAAGGACCTATGAACCTGCACTCCAAGATCTCTGTTCCGCAACATTCCCCAGGACCTTACCATTAAGTGTATAAGTCCTGTCCTGATTTACATTTCCAAAATGCATCACCTCACATTTATCTAAATTAAACTCCATCTGCCACTCTTTGGCCTATCTGGTCATGGTCATGTTGTAATTTTAGATAACCTTCTTCACTGCTCACTGCACCACCAATTTTGGTGTCATCTGCACACTTACGAACCATTGTTCCAATATTCACTTCCAAATAAATAACAAAAAGCAGTGGACCCATCACTGATCCTTGTGGCACGCTGCTGGTGACAGGCCTCCACCACCACCCTCTGTCTCCTACTTCATGCCAATTTTGTATCCAAATGGCTAGAGGAATCACAGTTTCAGAGTGAGGTACACAGAAACATATGAACAAAGCATAAAAGTAGGCTAAGGTAGACAAACAGGAGACTCAAAGAACACAGCAAGCCAGGCAGCATCTGGAGGAAAGGAGAAGTCAACATTTCAGGTATTACCCTTCATAGGAATGCGTCCTGGCTAGATCATCAGTGATAACTAGGAATTGTTCTGCAGCTTGTTTTTCAGGAGAACTATGTGGGCAACGTTTCTTTTCAGCAGTTGCAGATGTGGCTTGATCATGGAGGCACATCAGCAGAAGGTTCTTCCCAACTAAAGGAGCTTTTATGATGCCAGTGGACCATATCTGTAAGATAATGGGGGAAACCTTGGGAAGAATAATATCAGCCCTAATATTCAGCATCTGGTGATGAAAATCTTTTAATTATTATCGATTTAAATACATTTGAGAATTAGTAGTTGTCTGGGAATATTGGGAACATAGTTTAAAATTTCAGGTAATAGGCATCATCTCTAAGGGCCCATATATCTCGATGGGTTGTTGTTGCCTTGTTATTCTCTACACAGAAAGCAGGTTTTCTTTCAAAGACTGACTGTACATTTATCAGTCAAATTGACAGAGAGAGATCTTATTAACAGCAGTAATGAGTTTTCGCTGCCATTAGGTAATACAATTGAAAAATTATGTACAAAATCTTGAACCTCAGCTGCTGAGGTATTTTAAAGGGCTCTTGACAGGGATTTCTACAATGCAAGCATTCAGGAGATGTGCTGCAAAGAGCAATCCTTGAAGTAATAGCGAAGATGGTCCTTCATGGTTTTGCAAACAATATTGTCACAATGACAAGATCTTATTAAAACATGATCCCAGCCAATGTTTTGGATCATGCTATTGAAACGATTCAAAATTGCATTGTACAATTTTTTGCGATTGCAAAATGGCTTTCTCTGTGAGCTGTTTAAGACCCTTGTTGTTTCTCAACCAGAATTGCAGCATTCAAAAAGTTCCTGATATGACGGTGTTTTTTTTTTTAATCACAGCTGTTATTGGTGCTTATAGAATACAATGTGAACTACTGATTTGAAATTACCTCCCATTTTGCTGCCACCATTGTAGATGGTGAATCAAGTCAAAAGTAAAAGCCATGTAAATCTGTTTTGTATTTTGTACAGAAGTAAAGCTTTTGCATATACTAACATGCATGTGTGTACCTAGCCTCTTTTTTATTGTAATCAAGAACCTTCAAAACCTGCTACTTAGGCATCATTGCGTTTGTTTAACCTTTTTTGTGTCCATTCACTACCTTTATTGAGCAATTTCTCATTTTCATCACTGTGCACATTGATGTAAAGGTTTCAGCATTTTCTTTCTACAGTTTTTCTTGCCTCAAATCAGGCATGTACAGACACTGGAGTGCAGTGCTCTCAACTTGAAGGAGTAGAGAGCCAGGGTTAGAAGGGATCTCAATCATAAGTCAAAAAATTAACCTGGGACTGATCTGCCCATTCACAAAACCCTGTACAGGAAATCATTTAATGCAGACATGTCATCGCAAGAATGGGATGAAAATTCAGAAAGTGATGGGAAAGTGTTC